ACTCGTGTAATTCGAGTCACACATCCGCGATTTCTATCACCTAATTGCAAGAGAATGTCTCGTTTCAAGGTGACTGTCACGTCACATTTGTAATATCTTTGGTGTTCAAGTGATAGAGCTGGAAATGCCTGGAATATCCTTGTCAAGTTCAGCGTTGTACACTTCACCTCGTTGTGTAGTACTGTGCCCAAACTATTACAGATTTTCTCCAATATCCGCCTGAAATTTAGTCGTCTGCTTTTAAGATGCTGGTCGTCGCATAACGCATTTTATATTGTGTTTTTCATAAAATCTTGTGTTCTACTTGAAATGAAGTAATCTGTGAAGCGTCGTATACATCAGTATTTCATTGTTTTGTGGTTTTTACTTCTGTCTTTGGGTAATCTAATTGTTCTCACACCTATTGGCAATATAAACAGCTTAGCCTAGCTTGCTGAGCACAGTTATGCTTCACCACATCAATCCACCATCATTATGAGCTGGCTAAATCACCACGATGATATAAGAAGAGAATTTGAGGCCTCTTTAAAAGTGTGATTGAATTGTGGAATAGTTTGTTTCTTTTGTTGATAAAACGCAGTATGATGATCTCATCACAATTTATTCATGATCATATCAAGGCGAAACGTGGTGATTAAATAGTACTCCATTAATATGTATTTTTATCAAACGAAATTATTGCATGATGAAACTAAACCTGAATGTTATGACAGGCAGTTAGGAATCTCACTTATATCTGATGAAAGTTAGTTTTGATGAACATTGCACCAATGTATACACAGTTTGGTATCGCGTAGTAGACCACAGTAATTTGACAGTATTACCAATGAACCACACAGTGTCAAAGTATTATTTTCTATGGACTACATCTTGAGCACAGCAAATCCTACCGTTCACCGTGTGTTTTGTGAAGGTATATTATTCCACTAAAGAATTATAGTCTACAAGGCTGGGAAAATGCTAACTTCAATGACGCCGGAAATAGATGATCAAGATCGTCTGTCGTGAAGCCGATCAAGAGGATGAGTCATTAAGTTTATTTTTATCCTTATGTCAAACAGCTTTTCGTCACACATCCAAGTTCAGTGACGTCCCCACCATAAAACAGGTTAAACCTGTCTTATTCGTTCATTACAGTCCGATTAGATATTTCAGTGTATAGACGAAGTATAATGTGTAGGCCGTGTTGTTGACAAAACTGTGAGCAACGGGAAGAGATGTTGTGTCAGTCAATCAACGATTTTGTTTAAATCGAAACTGCTTGTCATAGAAGAAAGGCGAATGGAAATACACGGGGAGATTAGATATAACCCGTAGTAGGTGCGGTGTATTATTACTGAACAAGATGAAGAGTTTTTGATATAGTTGTGTTCTCTGAGTTGGATGGTTTATTTTCGAAGCTTTCATTGCCCTACTAGACAACATCTTCAGCATATACTTCAATGTGAATTGAGGCTTTGGATTTTCCCATGAGTTTGTACGTCGTCTCTCCTAATGACTTTGAAAAAAAATGGTTGTTATTGTTTTCACAACCCGTAAGCTACTTGTACTGGTAATGACTGTTTTCCTTAACCTGAAGTCTCATGAGATTTACTTCTTATCGATTGGTATGTTAATGTGTCTATTAACTGACGATTCACTGGAATGGCAGGTTTCTGAAAATTCTCGCTCATTCTCGGTGTCTAATATTTGAACGTTGACCCAGTCGAATTGATGTCCATGGTTGTCTGCACGCAGAGATATGAGGGAGCGGATTTCATGTCTTTTGAGGGCTAGTTTATGATCATGGATGCAAAGACGAAAGCGACGTCCACTTTGGCCAATGTGGTGTTTTCGCAGATGTTGCGACTAATTTTTCAGATGACATCGGTTAAATCTTCTTTCTCTTTTGAGTCCTTAGATTGACACAGAGCTAAGCAGAGTGATTCTGTTGGCTTGTGTGCGACATCATTTCCTCCTAAAGGTCTGAAGAGTCTCGCAGTGATTTCTGTTAACCTTTATATATGATAGGGCGATTTTCTCTCTGATTTCCTTGGAGGTCTTTGATTTGGTAGGCTGGCTTGGGGGTATATTTCTTCTGATGAAGTTCCGTGGATACTCATTCTTTTAAGAGACGTCCCTGAGGTATTTTCCTTCAGTTTTCCTTGAGTTAGGATTGTTGTAGTGAGTCCTGGCCCTCTTGAGTATTGTTTGTATACAACTCCTTTTGGGTATTATTTGATTGTTGCTGTTGGAACTGAGTATTCGGTCTGTATGAGTTGATTTCCTATAAACTTGAGTTTCTAATTTTCCTGTGATTGTTCGCCTGACTAGGACGTCCAAAAATGGGATTTTGTCTCAGGTTCCTCTTCTCTTTTGAATTTGATGTCGTTGAAGATGTTGTTTAAGTTGTGAGTTTTATACAACTTATATTTTGATTATTACGAATGTGTCATCTACGTAACATATCCAAATTTTTGGTTTGATCTTTGGTAGGATTATGTTTCCCAGTCTTTGCGCCACACCTTATGAAATCAAACCTGATATGGGCGATCCCATAGGTATCCCTTTAATTTGTTCATATATTTGGCCATTGAATTGGAAGTACCTCGTTAAGCATAGGTTTACGCATTCCATCCCTGTATGTATTCCATCTGATTGAGGCAAATACAGTTGTAACTGTAAAGAATACCATTATCCCTTGGCCATCTATTTGAATACCTCTGATTTTCTCTAGAAATTGAATTGCAGATTTCATGGAATGATCGCAGGAAACCGGTAAGTGGTTCAATCTTCTGTATAGTTCTTTGGACAAATTGTATTTTGCCATTCCTGGGAGTGATACAATTGGTCGTAACAAACGGGATATTTAGTTTGTGTATTTTGGGTCAGCCGTAGAATCGGGGTAGAACTGGTCCATTCGATTTAATTTACCATTAGTCTTGTTTTGTGATCTGGCCTAATTTTGATGAGTTCGTTTATGGTTCTTTGGATGCGATTGTCTAATGTTTAGATGGAATTTGTTTTATCTCTCATCCTCATAGAACAGGTTTTCGTCAAGTTCATTGGAACCCTTATCACCAAAGCCTGCTAAAACCTGTTCCTATTTCACTAATTATTCTCCATTACTTTGAAGCTGCCTAAATTCTAGCTCAATATGTTGTGCACATACATTACAACTATCGTTCAATTTACTTCACACTATGATCTAACTGAGTAATTTCTCCAATTGTCCATCTCATGTTGACTAGCACAAATCGATGGAGATTTAATGCTAACTTGGATCACTGACAAACTCAATAGTTCCGTGTAACAGATTGCTTGGAAGTACTGTTGGATGACTGTTTTCAGATTCACTAGATGATTAGGACTGAGAACTAAAACAAGTGGTTTACCTATACTCAAGGGCGATACACTGAATGCTACGATAAGGGCTCAATATTACTGCAGAACATAAGGGTGAGCTCCTCGTCCTCTTTTGACAGCAGAAAATCTTCAGCCAATAGTTGATGCTCAATTTAATAGTTAAAGTTCCTATTCTGTATCCTTTTCTGTCTCAAGGTTTTCGTCACTAGAAAATAGTATTCTTCTAAGATTGGAAAAATCAATAAAATGCCATATTTTAAACGCGTACCATTTATAGATAGGGGGAAGCTTCTCCTACACTTACGAATAGCTGATCAATTAAGCTGAATTCGGAGATCATCACAATTCATTCTGACCCCTATGTGAAAGCACTACTTGCTATAACACGATATCTAAATACGCAAGATAATTCAAATCTACTTTTTGCATGACTTTTCAACAAAATGATAGAAACGTAAAATAAAATTTACTGTCAGCATATTTCATAACTACAACTGTATCAAGTGCTAAGATTTATTAGAATAACTGATACATTTACAAGATAGCTTAAAAACTGTTCCAAAGCGATCCCATTTGAAAAGAAAAGCTCCTACATTAAAGCATAGCAAGCGTGCAGGCATCTAGGTCATGAGCTGTGGAACGTCACCAACAAATTCTCTACAATTAACAAAGACAGCAACTTTCAGTTTCACTATTTTACGCAATTAGGTTATTCTACTGACGCGATTGTTTTTGTTTAAACTCAATGGAACGTCTAACAAGATCGTGTCTTTAGTTTTCTTTTAATGACCACGAAATTCAATTTGAATAATGGTATATCCGTTGAAATTAATCTTATTACAGCTGTCTTCGCCCAATACTGAAAATCATATGGCCAGCCAGAAAGGATTAGCAACATGAAACTCTGGGAAGGAAAACTAATCACGAACCTTACTGATCCACAAATATGCTGAAGGGAATGGAGCGGGACTAGACACATACTGGAGAGACAGTTGGATGACAGCACGCAATAGCCCTTCGAGTCGGACCCGATCGGGAAGCAACGAGGACACGAGGATGACATGGAGGAGATGATAGCGAATTGGCAATCGTGGGACAAGATAAAGAGAAGTGCAAAGGACGGGAAAACATTGTGCTTTGCTGTTTATTGAAGGCCTATGTGTGGAGTCCTCAAAAATAAACTTATCCAACTTTTACTACTATGTGAGAAATGAACATATTGTACATTACTTTGTTTTAATCAGAATCTCTGTACTTTTGAACTTAACCTCGTGTTTTGAATGAACATATAGTTCTGCCTACAACTCTCCGTCTTCTCCACCATCTCAACTGCCATAGACCATTTTAATCACCTACCTTCTACTCCAAAATTTCGCAGGGACGCCGTATTTTCTCCCTACGTTACCTTGGTCGACCTCTTGCAATACTGTTATTGGAGAATTAGGATTGGAGCAGTCTTCTCACAATAATTCTGGAGTCTACTACGTTAACTGTGGATATGGACCTTGTAATAACCCAAGTAACAAATTTTAATATATTCTTCCAGTAACTTTACGGATTTTGTATTTTTTTTTATTTCTATTCGAATTCGGGATATTAAGCTAGCTAAGTCTAAGGTCCGCCACATATGTCCCACTCGGAACCCACAAGAATAATAATAAAATATGCGACTGTATTTAAAAAGACAAAAATGATTCATAACTGGTTGTTTTCATAATAATTTTATTTCGTTCACAGAAGGCGTAACAAACATTTGACAGGATTAAATTACAAATGCTTTCTTTATACATCTATAATACACTTTGGCCATAGAGACTTAGTAAAGAAATATGGTCAAAAGTTGTATATTATTGTGCATATACACATATGTAACTCTACTGATAACAAAGGCTTGAAAAGTAATTTTATAAAATGATCAGTTCATTTGTGTAGTTCAGATAAAGCATCCAGTAGATTAGCCTGTGAAACAAAATCTTGTCGGGCAATTTGAGCTTTCTGTTTAGCTAATTCCAATAAATTCTCCAAATCAGCACCACTACAATTCAATACACAGATAAAATGAAAGATTTACTTTCAATATCATGTGAATAACATTAACTAAATCACGTGGGTTTTCTCCGCTATATATATATATATATATATATATAGGCAATGGCAAAGCTGAACCAGTCACAGTTGCATACCCAACACTTGACTCAAGTCAGTGGAGGAAACTCACGAATTGGTAGACGTTGGTACTCATGGGTTATTGGATCGGATTCGATTGGATGAATCGTAAACAAGCTGCCTTGCAACTAGGAGGTCCTCGGTTCGAACCCTAACGGGTGTGTAGTGATGAAGAGTCTCAAACTGGGACAAAACAGCTGTCCAGTATAAGCTGGTTTTCCAATGTTTCTCCAAATAATGTCAGTTTGTGATCAAACTTGAACTATATGGAGACAAGTAAGATTCCATCTAAGCTGTATTAGTTTCTAACACAATAAATAAGTCTTACGGATAGTTGGAAACAGGAATTCATGCCGATTAATGACTATATTGTAAATTAACTGGGCAATGCAGTAAGCGATACAAAACACTGATCACTCTACAGACAAGCACATTACAAATGAATAAAAAACGGGAAAGATGAAGCTCTTCGTAAAACATCGAAAAACCCATCTTAACAACAATTTAATTATGCTATCAATAACCGGCTAATTGGTATAATTAGCATTTCAAATAGTATTGACAGTCAAATTTTATCCTATAAAATGTCTGCTCAATCAGTAATAAGACATAGTTTATTGTTAAGGCTGTAATCAGTTCATCACATTTAACTGGGGCATCAACTTTCGTTCGTTTATCCGTTTGTTCTGCACTCAAGAGATCTGTCTACCGCTACAAACCATTTAGCAGTAATTTTCAATTCACTAATATATTCAAACCAGCGACAGTAAAAGTAAATCAGAAAGGTACTAGAATACGTTTTGAGAAACTTTAAGATATATATATATATATATATGGATTGGCCAAACATTGAGAAAACTAACCATCAAGTGACATCACATGACAGGTCATCACTCGAGTGGAACCCAAACGGGAAACGACGAGTTGGTCTTCAGTGCAAGGGTGACTTGGAGGAGGTCATGTGAAGAAGAGATGAAAGCATGTGGGGAGACGTGGAGCCAAGTAAAACTTTGGCAGAGAACCAAACCAATGGAGACGTTAGGCTGGAGCCCTATGTTCCTCTAGGAACTAAAGGAAACAATAATACATTATTATAATTCCTTTAGGTTCTAAAACATAGGGCTTCAACTGCACATCACCATTTTTTCCTATTCCCTACAGTCCGCTCCAGCTGGCCCCACGATTCCCCCACACGATTTTCTCCATGTCACCCTCAGAGCCACAAGTAACTCATCATTTCTTATTCGCGACCCACTAGACGACCTGGCCCGCGATGTCACTCAACGGTCTCCTCAGCGTGTATCCGATCCATCTCAACTTTCTCCTGCAGTTTTGTTGAGCAATAGCCTCTTGATTGGCTCATTTCCAGAGCTGATTGTTTCTAATTCTTTCTGGCCATCTGAATTTTAGTATGGAGAGAAGGTAGCTGCTGGTAAAGTCTGAAGCTTTTTGAAAATGCTTCTTGTGATGTATTAGTCAAGTTTGTGACACACATTGAAGGATTGACTGACTGACTGATGGACTGAACAATGGTGTTGAAAATCCAAATTTTGTTCTTTATGATGAATATAGTGCAGAAGACTTCCAAGCTGGCTTCGGAGTGATGAAGGTTCGCCTTGTCTTTCCAATTCTGGCTTTGACATCTTTATCCGTTTAGCCTATAGTCGAAATGATGCTGCCTAGATACGCGAAGCAACTGACCACTTTTAAACCTTATTACGAAGCTAGTGATTGGTGCTTGTTGTTGGATGGATATCCTCATCAATTCCATCTTCTCTATGTTTACTTGAAGTCTTGTCTTCGCTGCTTCCTCTGCCAACTTGCTACTTTTCTCTGGCAATTCTTCGAGTTGGTGTGATATTAAACATCTATCATCCGCCAAGTGCTGACATACACGTATAGGACTTTACAGTTCTACCGTTCTACTGTTAGTCTGCGAATAAGTGTCTTTACAAAACTAATAGTGATTGAGAAATTACGAGTACTGAATTACTCTGGAGAAATAACCCTAATTACAGTTCAGAAAAAGAATATAAAAGTTGAAAATAAAAAACATTCAACGAATCATAACACAAAGAATTACCTCATTTTTTCAGTCCGTGAATCATTTGCAATCAATTCAAGAGTTAGCATACCATTCTCAATCCGAGGAGTTGTTGCTGATCGTGTACAAGCTGATAGAACTGAAAGACGTTCTCTAAAATTCGACGGTGGGCTAATCATTAGATGTAGGCCAAGGCGACCAGGACGAAGTATAGCCGGATCAATCATATCTTTACGATTTGTAGCGCCAACAACAAATACTCGACCTGATCTATGCTTATCAATACCATCTAATTCGACTAATAGTTGATTCACTAAACTAACTCGACTCCCTGAATCGAGATATGGAGAGTAATACAAAAAGAGGACAATTCATTTACAGGCTAACTACCAAGAGAAAATTACAGGAAATAACTGTTGACAAATGACTCTTAAACTTCCATACCTCTAATAAAAGAAACTCATGGAAAAACTCCGAAAGAGAAAACAGTAGTCCTCTATTTCTGTGTTACTGAAATCAAAGCATTTGTGGTTAGTGTGCGAACACTACCTGTTGGCAATGAGGTATACTAACAATAAAGAATCTTATTCACAACAAACATTTCCGGTTTATTGATTCTTCTTTCAAAAAGATCATGATGAGAGAAATATCATCAAAGAATTTCTACGTCTTTTCAGAAATTAATATTTAGAGGTATACGGCAAACTTCTAGGTGTGATGGAGCAGATATTTCATACATTTTCAAAGTAAAACAGCTTCGTCTGCTTGACTGTAAAGTAATTACAGCTACGAAAAGATTATCTGTCTTTGATCATAGATGTCTCGGTTCTACCTCCCGTGTGAAGTGGTATAATAAGGTGAGCAATATTGAGGTTAGGCGTCGAGTTATAGGTAAGCAGGAGAAATCAATCGACGAAGTCGTGAAGTTACAAGAACTGAGATGGTTAGGACATGCGTTATGTCAGAACGTGTTGTGATGTTAGACATGCAAATGAGAAATCTGACAAAACACACAGACATACATAGTTGAGAAGTGCAACATTGCACGTGTATAGTAGATAAACGTTTCACATTTTCCAGCATGACACATTAATTATTATTATTAATAATAAACGTGTAATTCGAGTCACACATCCGCGATTTCTATCACCTAATTGCAAGAGAATGTCTCGTTTCAAGGTGACTGTCACGTCTCATTTGTAATATCTTTGATGTTCAAGTGATAGAGCTGGAAATGCCTGGAATATCCTTGTCAAGTTCAGCGTTGTACACTTCACCTCGTTGTGTAGTACTGTGCCCAAACTATTACAGATTTTCTCCAATATCCGCCTGAAATTTAGTCGTCTGCTTTTAAGATGCTGGTCGTCGCATAACGCATTTTATATTGTGTTTTTCATAAAATCTTGTGTTCTACTTGAAATGAAGTAATCTGTGAAGCGTCGTATACATCAGTATTTCATTGTTTTGTGGTTTTTACTTCTGTCTTTGGGTAATCTAATTGTTCTCACACCTATTGGCAATATAAACAGCTTAGCCTAGCTTGCTGAGCACAGTTATGCTTCACCACATCAATCCACCATCATTATGAGCTGGCTAAATCACCACGATGATATAAGAAGAGAATTTGAGGCCTCTTTAAAAGTGTGATTGAATTGTGGAATAGTTTGTTTCTTTTGTTGATAAACGCAGTATGATGATCTCATCACAATTTATTCATGATCATATCAAGGCGAAACGTGGTGATTAAATAGTACTCCATTAATATGTATTTTTATCAAACGAAATTATTGCATGATGAAACTAAACCTGAATGTTATGACAGGCAGTTAGGAATCTCACTTATATCTGATGAAAGTTAGTTTTGATGAACATTGCACCAATGTATACACAGTTTGGTATCGCGTAGTAGACCACAGTAATTTGACAGTATTACCAATGAACCACACAGTGTCAAAGTATTATTTTCTATGGACTACATCTTGAGCACAGCAAATCCTACCGTTCACCGTGTGTTTTGTGAAGGTATATTATTCCACTAAAGAATTATAGTCTACAAGGCTGGGAAAATGCTAACTTCAATGACGCCGGAAATAGATGATCAAGATCGTCTGTCGTGAAGCCGATCAAGAGGATGAGTCATTAAGTTTATTTTTATCCTTATGTCAAACAGCTTTCCGTCACACATCCTAGTTCAGTGACGTCCCCACCATAAAACAGGTTAAACCTGTCCTATTCGTTCATTACAGTCCGATTAGATATTTCAGTGTATAGACGAAGTATAATGTGTAGGCCGTGTTGTTGACAAAACTGTGAGCAACGGGAAGAGATGTTGTGTCAGTCAATCAACGATTTTGTTTAAATCGAAACTGCTTGACATACAAGAAAGGCGAATGGAAATACACGGGGAGATTAGATATAACCCGTAGTAGGTGCGGTGTATTATTACTGAACAAGATGAAGAATTTTTGATATAGTTGTGTTCTCTGAGTTGGATGGTTTATTTTCGAAGCTTGCATTGGCCTTCATGACCAAACGTGCTGGTGTGCTTCACTGTAGGAGATTTTGAGCACCTATCTCCAGCGTCATTTTTGTTAGAAATCTGTTAGCGTTGCAGAATTTAATTCCACAACAAAATCAATAATTTGGATTGAGTATTACTTGTTGTCCTTGGCGTTAGTCAAACATTACACCTTGACACCGTGTGGTTTATGCGATTGGGGAATCACTGTGTCCATAGCTGCAGTGTGCACACAAATGACACAGATATATTGACCCAAATGAATATTTCTTGATGTTTCTCTCGATAACCCTTTTAAGATATTGATGATTCAAATGAGTTGTACGCATGATTTCTAATTGTAGGTCTATTGTGTCCACATAGCTAATTTTCTTAATTATGGAATACAGAGAGCGGATTTGTCTTCTCTTCCTCCTTGGAGGTGCCCAACTGTTGAAATTAGTGTACTGACCTGTGAATATTGACTTTCGGTACATCTACCTTTTTTAACGTGCTCTCCTCTCTTCTGTCCAGCATCACATCTAAAAAGTGAAATAAGTAGTTCGAGTTTTCTTCCATAGTGAAAAGCATGTATGAGTGAGAACCGTTGAATTCTCCAAGAAGCTCGTCAACTGAGCAATTTTCATCACAAATAATCAACGTGTCATCAATATCTCGCCTATACATATGAAGAATTGAGAGTGTTTTCTCAATCGTCCCTTCTTCAAGCTCACCATGAATATGTCTTTTAGGAGAGGTCCTAATCGAGACCGCATTTCGACTCCAAACCTTTAGTTATGGGTGACATCAATAAATGTAAACTGCACATTGAGCCTACATCTCAATGAAAGCTGCTTCAGATGGTCAGTCTCCTTTCCAATATTGATGCATACTATTTCAATGTAATCCCATAAATGAAAGGTGAGAAAAGGACGACAACCTCTTCATCTTTGAACACTTTCTATAGCCAGGTCATTCAGCCCCATGTGATACATCCTTTAAAGTGATCTACGGGAGCAAATCCAAACACTGCAAAAGGAGACGTTTTTTCCCTACTGCAAAGCACAAGCTCTAGCTCTCCACGAACAAAAAACTAAATAATATATTCGAAAACGTTTTGTCAAACCGCTTTCTTTACATCGGTCATAATAATGTTCTTCTACTTTATTCTATTTCACCACTTGAATTCATTGCGCTTCACTTCACTTCCACTGCCTTCATTGTTATCATCATCTAGTCCGTAATTTTCCAGACAACAGATGGCCTATAATTTAAAAATCTCTACACCGGTTCACTTAAATGATAATCTTAAAATGCATTGTAATTCATCCACGTCAACACTAGTTTCCTGGTACATCATCGTAATTGCCTTCATTCTTATCATATGTTGAATATTGACTGAGCAATTCCGAGTGCCACTGTATGCCTCTTTCTATAGGAAAAATACAGCTGAACAGCTTGAAAATGAAGGCGCTGAACAGAGATATACCTTTGCCGAAAATAAACTGTGCTTTACCATATGAATTAATCGGTATATTTTGTGATAATCTACTTAATCAGTGATTTATGGAAGCCAATTAATCTGTCCCTCTTGTGTTCACACGTATTCAACCAGTAGTTGCATCCCAAGATCAAATGTTCATATTCATACGATTATCTCTCAAGTGGACTGAGTCATCGAACACAACGCATAACTGTGTCTCGAAAACTACATCAAACATAATCAAAGTGAAGTAAACTGTTACAAAAAGAAAGGAAATCCATACATTTCACCATCGAAGGAAGAATCTCCATGAAAGTCACAAACAAGTACGTGGCTCAATTAGTCAGTCACAGAGAAGACAACTGTTGTGTGAGCGAAGTTTCATAATTCGACCGTAGAAGACCGTAAAAGGGCATAAATAATGTTAGAGTAGACACGTACTGATAACCATACATGTAAATCAATATATGGAATGAATCGAACCGACACCTGGAAGTGTAGTAACAGTTTAGCTGATTTATCTTTACGACAAGGGTAACAGAGCTCAAAATCCAGGTGCGATGACCCTTCAGAAATGAGTGTCACAGGATTAAGTAGTGCGACGCGATAATAACCGCACTAACTGGTCAACGTTTCATTTGAATTAAGCAATACAAATCTCATATACGTGATTTCATACAAGAGAATTGTTCACGTCTCACCGAATTAACAAATCGTCACCTGACTGAGATCAACTCAGAAATTTATTAATCCTCTGTTCACGCGTCATTCGATAGAGTATAAATACGAGGATGTGAAATTCGAATGGAGTGCAATCACAGTGCATATACAACATGGTTCGCCCACTGGTATTTGGTGTCCTCGTCAGCCTGCTACTATCTTCGTTGGATGCTTCAAGTGAGTTTGAATATGTGTTCAGTTTCCTGCAATCATGTGCCCTTTATTTCCTCACACTTTCTTACAATTGATGAGTAGAATGTCCTCTCTTATAGACAAACGCACTGAGACGTCTCACCTAGTCACTGTGTAACGCACCACTGGGACTGCAATCATACTGCTACTCGACGAGCATCTGTTCGTACTTCGACAGGTTGGGTCAACTTTGTGTCAAGCAATGTGTTTGTTTATTAACCAAATTTTTCGACAGATAGTGCATCCAGGTCCTCAAAAATGAGTGAAAGGAATGTGGATTTGTTCCGCTAGGTCATTTGCGCAGGTGTTTTCTTGTTGTGCCTATTCAGCTTTTCGTATTTTCTTTCTTCGTAAACCTTTCGTTTCCTCCACGTTTTGTGGCATCGCGTGTTTACTAGCTCTCCCTGACGTTGAATCTCTCTCTCCACTATTTGATTTTTTTCATGCTGATGAATGTCTTTTTACAGACTTTTGATTAATCCTGGCAACAGCACACGACACACTCGTCCCCATATCGAAGACTTTCTCACAGAGGCACTATGACCTTCTTCGTTCAACACGTTGCTTTTGTACTTTGGTCCCGACTTCCTTACCACACCGTATATATTCCTGTAGCTGGCTGACGTTGGCCCGTTTCTGTTTATTTCCTCTTTTGGTGGTATAAACGAGACCAATTCTATCGGTGACAGTGAGTGTCCCTTCCCACTTTGGAATGAGTTTCTGTGAACTTGGCCTGCGTTTACCTGTGTACTTTTCTTGCTCCACAATTCATTCGATCGACGACCTCAAGGCTTATGCATCCCCCTTTTCTCTGAGTTCAGATTTCGCAGTGTCCTTCTTCTGTTTACGCGTTACATTCCTGACGGCTTATTTCTGATCCTTTCGCAGTGTTCTCATTTCTCACTCTTGTTGTAGGATCCATATTGTAGTGTCCAATGGCGGTCGTGGTTTTCCCAAAGACATTAAGTTAAATGGTGACTAACTGTTGTTTCCTGGGTGGAAGGACGATGAGCTAGCAGAACCAATGGAATCTCTGTCTCCCGGTTAGCTCTCTTTGAGCCCAGTCACTCCTCCAACGTGTGATCATTTACGTCTAACACATCAGTCGTTTTCGGGTGATGTGATGTTGTTCTGATCTTCTTGATATTGAGGTATTGCAAACGGGATGTAAATTCTTCACCTTCATATCAAGGACCTTGGTCTGTCATCACCGTGTTTGGTACACCGAATTGTCGAACTACTCCATCAGTCACAGTTCCCGCATGTCGAATCGGGATTACGATGGAGTCTGTGCATCATGTACGGGTTTTTTCACCACTTAGAGCTACCTACTGCCACTGATTTTCTATGAAACAGACCCATAGCTTTTACGGACCACAAGTCACTTACTGCCGTAAGGAGAATTGACTGTATATGTGGTCGAATGCACCGATCTAAATGACACCGCAAAAATTCACACATTTTCCAACATATTCTCCCATACTTGGCCAGTGAATACTTTGCCTCTAGAGATCGGTTGTTTTGGCTACTCCTATATGTTCTAGGTGGTGACATTCTTGTAACATCCGTTTCTGTAGAGACTGAAGTATTACCATCAATCAGTTTCTGTTTTTCTCTTTACAAGCCAGCTTTCCATAAGCTTTTATTCCTAATCGATATTCCCCCCTGATGTTCATGGTTAGCTCCTTACTCGCCGTCGTTTGATTATTTTCTGTTTGGTTAGTGATCACCTGTACTAATGTATTTAGCGTGAGGTCTGATTTCTGACTGCTGGAAAGTTTTAATAGGTCTTCTTCCAATGCATCCACTCCAGACGTACTCTCAGGTAACGAAACTTGTTTCTTCAGACACTCAGGATATCAGTCGCTCGAAATACTTCCAAGAAGGTGTGAACACTAATGGCATAGAACGAGTGTGAGAAACTGCAGCTCTTGAATTCCTTCTGATTGAGAGAGGTTCACTGCATCAATAATGAGAGCTGAAATATTCTCCTCAAAATATCTATACTCGGTGTGAATCTCCGTTTATTTCATACAGGAACTTATCTGTTACACAGCTTGTACGTACTATAATCTGAAATACGCCTCTTGGAACTGACAGATCATGAAACGAAGACCAATGGACTTAAGAGTGTTTGATTAGCATGGATTGACTGAAGGAACTGAATATTCGGGAAGTATGCCTTCAATTGCCATTGAAAATATCAGTGAAAAGACTTAGAAAGTGTTTTTATGGATGTGAGTCTAATTATATGGCCAACGATAATGACTAATATGTCATGCTAGAAAATGCTGAATGGGTGTGTATTATGCTGGTGTGGTTTCACCTCGTCAACGGCATGTGTCTCTATTTTGTCAAAATTTCATTTGTACATTTAAAACTGTTGCTCACCTCAACATCATTGTGAAAAAGAAGGAAAGGCGAATTTAATCGCTTGAATTGAGTGAGTGAATGAAGTGAAAGTTAGACTTCACCTATATGCTGTTTATCTGCAGCTTTGTGATCCAACATTGACTGACAAACAATGTCATCGTTGCATTGACATAATCAGGTGTAGACCAAGTGACTACTCTACTGGATTTAAACGCAATCAGCATCGACGTTTCGGATAATCAAGTGAATACTCATCTGCATTGGATGACGGAAGCAAGTGAGATCTCAATGTAATTTACTTCCAATCACTTTGATGTTTCTGACGTTACTGATATCACCCTCGTCAATGAACAATCAACACAAACTTCCAATGGGCTAAAACTCGATTTTCGTGGTTGCAGAAGGTGATATTTTTGGTTCTAAATAGTTTGATATCCATCGATTCTGAAATGTCTCCCCAAATTTGATACCCTTGTTGGTCACTAGTAACAGCAAACGTAGTGGTGAGATATCTCATAGAGAAACTCATTGTGATAGTTCGGTAAAATATTCGCACGACTATGATATTATCAGTGCAACTTGTGATGTGAACAATACTATTCCTCACCTGTCATCTGAATGTATGCTGTGTATTCTACATCGTCATTTCTCATCTAGTTTTGAAGTTATTTTCTTCACGAGTGTGTAGATTATCTGAATGCCTTAACTTATTTTACATTGTGTGATGACGCAGGATTATCTCGGTTGTCTACTACACTGTCAAAATTCTAACTTAGCTGACGCTATAAATGGAAGCACAAAGTGACCTGTTGTGAATCACGTCAAAGATATTGGTGAAGAAGTTGGAATTGTCCGTATGTGAAGCAGGTGTTGGTTCACGTATCCAAGTTAGTGGAAGCCCTCATCACAGAATGACTCAGACCTCTTCAACTTGTTCAAGCATCATTACATTGCGATGAGATCCTCGAAATTTTAACTCAAAGCCTTGTTCCAATACAAGGCACTATTCGGATAAATTACTGTTTTTCATTCATTGTAGATATTTCTGTATTTGTTCGTTCTCCAACTGTTGATTTATATGTGATTATTGAGATTTTGTCAGATTTGGTGTCCCTGTTTTGTCTTCTTTTGCTTGGAAGATGTTCCAGCAATGCAATCAACACTAATCACTAAAGAACGTTTACAGTTCTTCGGAAGTATTTCTCAAACACTCACTGATTCATAATATATTTACGCCATCGGCTTCCATATAATCATGACTTATGTGACTGCTTGCTTTTCTCCTCCGCTTTCTATTTCCCACGTCGATGTCGAGTTTAGGCTCACAGTGCAGAAATATTAGACAATGATGTGAATGCATTTGTGGAGTGTGTTTTTGGTCAGTGTAAAAGTAAACGATCGGTTGAACGGTGTGGATGGGATTCTTTGTGTTGTCATGGGTGCATTCGTTTGGATGAGAGATGCAGACATTTCATTAAGATGTGTCCTGACAATTCAGTGACTGACTTCGTCGTCGGATCTGTCATACAGATGGATGAATCGAAACCAATCACCTAATTCTCCATATTGCTTTCCTCTTGAGAATCGAATTGAAGTAAGTAGAACAAAATAAACGAAAGATCATACGCTTTGATTTGCTTCGACAAAGAAATGCGTCTGTGAGATTTTGTCGAGACGTATTCCTCACATTTGTAATGCATGTCTAGAATAACAAATACGCAACCACCTGAAAACATCACTGGAAAATTGGGTTTCATTGTTATCTTCACATAGCTGATGGCTGTTAAGTGACGCAGTATGGAAGCATCCATTTACGAGAACTCCTATTCTCCTGAATAACTTGTTATACGTATGAAGTAACTGAGAGAAGGAATGTTGAACTATCAGATTGATAATGTGAGACGGTGAAGTGTCCCTGTATTAACTGCAACTGAACGCTTATAGAACTAACTGATGTTCCTACAATGTGATAATACATAATTTGGTTTCAAAGATCTGCCTTCTGAATACAACGTATCTCGGAACGTCTTGCGAAAACATCAAATACTTTTCATTCAGGAACATCCAGTTTCGTTTGAGGGTTTTGCTATCGTATATCATTGTCATTTTGATTGTCTGTGTATGACAAATCATGTATATAAATGCCAAAAAAACAGGGAGTAGGTA